GGCCCACCGAGGACCGCCAGCCCCTCCTAGCTGCAGAGGACTCAGACTCAATAGTTTAGGGTAGCTCAGGATCTCTAAGATATGGGGGCCAAAGATGAGCGGTCACAAAAGTCAGAACTGGGCAGGCCCTGAAAATCACCTAGTCAACACTGTTGTGGAACAGAGGGGACGGCCTAGGCCCAGAAAGGGGAAAGGACTAGCCCAGAATCACAGGGAAGGTAGGAATGGGGTCAGGGCTGGAGCCTGCTTTGCATTTGAGCAACCCACTTGATGATTTTCAATTTTGTGTCCTTACAGGAAGGTGCGGTAAGCGATTGATGTTAAGGAGGGGGATCTTCACTTATGCAGTCTTCATTCATTCATTCAATAGCGCTAGTGGTGGAAGGAAGGGAAGCAGGGATACTCGTGTCATGGTTTCCGACCATTAATCCATTCATTCTCCACATACTTAATTGAGCGCTGAATTATATATGCTGGTCCTGCAGGGTGGAGATATAGGAGCTTTGACTATGAATCAAGGAGACTCCCCCTTATTTAACTGTGCCTGCTTAGCCTGTGTTAGGGGTGCCATCTTCACAGTGTTCCCTTGTAAAGCGGGAGATTTCGTAGGGAATTCTAATTGTAGAATCGCCTTTAGAGCCAATTAGTAAGCCAGGGGAAAATCAGTATGGGCACTTTTTAATTATCTCATTTTATATATATATATATATATATATATATATATATATATACACACATATATATATATAAATATTTTTTAGCAAGCTATGACAATCTCCCACCACTCAACCACACACACTTAACATCATCAGATAGTTCCTCCTGACTATTAAAAACAAAAATTTTATCAGCTTTCCCATGGCTAAAAAAGCATGGACTCTGGCATCAGACACATACACTTTGGAACCCTGAGTCTTCCTGGCCTGGCTGTGTAATCACAGCCAAATGACTTAACCTTTTTAAGCCTCAATTTATTGTCTGTGAAAGAGAAATGATATATGTCTTGTCACATCTCTGTGAGGTTTAGAGATGATGAACTTACAAGGTCTAATGTAGCACCCTGTACAGATACAGAGCTCAATAAAGGATGACTTTGTGGTTTCTAACTCCCTGGTGAGGGGGCTGTGCTGTTTTACAAACATTTTGGATAACCTTGGCAGCCGTGCCCAAGTATTTAGGCTCTGCACCCACGGGATAGGTGTCACCGCATGTTCATTAAAACAAGCAAAGTACAGAATGGCAGCGTCCTCGTTTTCTCATTATGCCTCACAGAACGACATAACTTAGAGGACCTCTCATGCAGCTCCTCCACCTTCGGGTGGGGGAGGACTGAGGCCCCCTAGAGGGAGAAGGAGGTCTCCTAATCAGCCCAGCAAGTTCGTGGCAGCTGGTACCAGTCCCTGGAGGCAGCTGACAGAGCTGATTGCAGGTCCCAGGACTGTCATAAGATCTGGAGTCAAGGCTCAGGTACCCACAGGCCCAGGGCTGCCATCGCCCCTTATTATGCCAGCTTTACTGTTCTACAAAGGATGGGTAGTGGACAGGGCTGCTGAGAGAAGGTGCTCACAGGACAGAGATAAGGCTTCCTTCCTCCCTCTTTCTCAGCCTGGAGCTGGCCCAGGCTATTCCAAGCATGAGACCTACATCTAGGTAGTCATTTTACTTTCTCAATAAGCTCCCACATGTAGTGTCTTCTCACATCCTCCCCAAACCAGCTCAGTCATGAAAGCCTGGTCCCTACAGCCCCGTATGATAGACAGGAACACCGAAGTTACATACAAGTCATTGGCTTTAGAGCCAGAGCTGGGACTGTAATCTAGAGGCACATCTCCTCTCTCTGCACCTCCCATGCTGAGCTGTCTGTAACACATGAGGGAAATCTTTAGAGGGCCTGCCTTCACCATCTCCACTGCAGCCCCATGGCCAAAAGAAATAATTACTCTATAGGTATAAATTTCCCAAGAAGTAAACTTCGAAGCCCTGGAGTCCTAAAGGGGAGAAAGAAACAAGAAAGGACTGAAGGAAGGATCGCAAGAGAACACAAAATACCTAGTCACATGAGGTGAGAGGAGCGCACCGTTCATTCTGAGTCCGGCACACTGGCTCTGTTCCCTATTAACCATGTGACCTTGGGCAAGTCATCCAACCTTTCTGACTGCTCACCTTAGAAAACCACAGGGTTGTGAGAATCCGGCAAAATGGAAAAGCATATGGAGCTTCCTGCAGAGTGCCAGGCACGTGGAATTGATTATAACCGTCCCACAGAATGTCAGGGCTGGAAGGGACTTGGAGGATGACCTAATCCTGGTGTCTCATTTCACAGACAGGAAAAACAAGGCCCAGAGAGAGGAACTGACTTGCCCAAGGACACACAGCAAACTCACGGTGACGCTGGGTCTAGCACACTCAGTTTATATTAAAATCACAGACTACAGCCAATGAACCCAATCTTCCAAGCTGTGCGAAGATGGAGGAAAGTTTTCCAATGGTTTCCCAACCCATAGGGTTCCAAAATGTAAGCTTCCTTTCTCCACTTAACAAGAAAAAATGTGGTATTTCTGCCCAGAAGAAAATATAAAAATTTGAGAAATACTCAAATTAAAACTAAAATCCCAGGTCTTAACAAAGGCACTCTCTTTTAAGACTTCTATTTCCCGCCTTCCTCTTTCATTGCCCCCCCCCCCAAATATTTTGCAATAACAGTAATGCTGGGAGGAAAGAAAAAAATAAAAATCTGATGCACTTAACAGATATTTTGGTACAATAATGCATCACAGATGTTCATATCAAACTGTGCACGCGCGCATACAATTTTACTGAGAAGGCTGTTGCATTTCTGACTTTGGGGTGGGGGATCCCTAACCACCCCATCCACCCAAGCTCTGGAATCCCTCCCTTCCCAGTTAGCCCAGGGCTGCCCATGGGGATGGAGGAGAGATTTCATCACCTCACTCCAAAATGATAACAGGACAAATTGGTGGGGTCGGACACTCTGGCAGGTGGTGAAGGGTGTGGAGATTAGGGAACCAAGAGGAGACCTGTTTTCTTTTGTTTGGAACTTGCTTCCTGCAGCCCTCTTGATGAGCTGGACCCAAGAACAATTTTAAGAGCGGGCCCAGGCTGGTGATGGGGTGGGCGCATTTTTGAAACCAGAGATTTGAGTCCGTTTGATCTTCAAACATGGGCTTTGGAGACTGTCAGCGGGCTCCTCGCTGGCCGATGAATGGCTCTCAGGAACTTTTCCTAAAACATAACCTCACACACTTTCCAGCAAATGTTTTCAACCTACCAAAGCCATCATTTGGTTCAACAGCAGTGTTTCCAGACCCCGAAGAAAGATAGTTTTGTTGTTTTAAGAGAGACAGATTAAAGCCAGGGGCTGTTTAACCAGAGCGTTTGTGTGCTCCCTTCAGTTCTTGTGGATTCCTCTGTGGTTGGTACAAAGAGGGAGCTGAGAGTGATGGTGGGTCCCCCACCTCCCCAGCTTAAAAGAGATATCGAGGCCAGACATGAGGCCTCTGAACAGGAGGCCTCCCACAAGCCTGCCTCCAAAATGAGATGGGCGGTGAGCACTGGGGAGCCCAATGCAGATAATATCAGCTCTCGAGGCTGGCAAAGGGAAAAGTCACTTCAGAGGGAGAAAGCCGGTATGTTCAGAGGAATCAGCACTGGGCGAGAGAATACACAGGATTTTCCCCCATGGAGAAGGAGTCAGGCGTAGTCAGAACCCTGCGGGGCGTGACTAACTGTCCCAATATTCCTGCCACCGGGGCCCTCTGGGTAAGGACTCCACAATTATGGGAGAGCCAGCAGGAGAACCGACAAACCCGCCTTTCATTTGGCCGGCAAATCAATCTGGCTTCTTACCTCCCTGGGGACAATATTGCATTTCCCCTGGAAAAACAAAGGCCAGAGATCTCTGAAGGGGGATCAGTTTCTGCTGCTGTTTCCCTGGTGAAGGGCTTGCAACATCTCTGGGGCAGCAAGCAGTCCTGGTCCCAATGGTCGTTTCTAGCCTGGCCAATTTACCGGGCCATCTCCTTAACAGAGGAGCATGTCTCCAGGGCCAGGTCTCGCTCCTCACTGGGGCATCGGCCCATGCCCGGTTGTGGGGCCTCCGAGCAGGACTCACCAGCCCTGTTGCAAGCCCCTATCCCAGGCTGTTCTCAGGGCACAGATGTGAATTCATTGTTCCCAGGGCCTCAGAGTTGAGCCGGGGGCCAGTGAGTTGCAAGTGACCTCTGCCCATGGGGACAGGGCTTTTAATGACATTTTGCTGGATCAGGTCCCTGGCAGCCAAAGACTTTAAACCTCCTAAGTTCCTCCCTTCTCCCTGCCCCCGCTCCTAGTTTCAGAAATCAGAACTGTCAACCTGTAAGTGAACACATTTCTCTGAAATTATTAACCCCAAAACTATCTTTGCTGGCTTTCTCCCAGCCGAGGGAGGCAGTCCGAGGGTTGCCTGGAGCTTTGCAAAGGTCCGGGAAATTTGACAGTGCTTAAGGTCAAACAGGAAGCTGTATACACCAGGTCCACTCACTGCACCTGCCCTGCCCCCCAGGCCCAGGCGCCATGTCTCCCTCTCTATGTCCTCTGTTTACATGCTGCTGCCCCCAGCCTCAGAACAGCCTCCTGATCTTGAGATCCAGGGCTTCGAACACAAGCTTTCGGCTCCCTCTTTTTGTTTTTCATCACTCTGATGCTCCCAGGGAAATTCTTTCTGCTCAGGCAAGCACGGCAGGTGGGGAGTGTATATCCCCTACAGGTAACACCACTGAAAGGGAAGCAGACACCCAAACTCTTACCCCCAATTCCAGCACATACCAGTTTGCCCTCATGCCACCCCCAAGGCAGCTCGAGAGCTGCTCCACTGCCCAGAAGGCCTTCTTCCTTTTGGGGAAGGACAGGGCTCTGGCTACCAGGGAAGGAAGACAATCAGAGAAGAGGACAAAGGCGCACCGGGGCTGCCCAGCTCATGGGGCCAAGGGCCCCATGCCTACCTGGGAGAAGTTGAGCCCGTTGAGCGGGTGGCACTGCTCCTCCACCCGCTCCACAGCCCCTGTGCTCTTCTTCATCTTCTCGGCCTGCTGGGCCAGGTACAGGTCGAGCACGGGCACGCCCCGGGAGCGCACGTCGGTCTCTGTGAGTGAGTTCACCATCAGCATCACCCACACGGGCCTCTTGCGCTCCCAGTTGCCCGCGATGGCATTGAACAGGTAGTCGGCGTAGAGCCCCTTGCCCCGCTGTGCAGGTGTCATCCAAGAGGGCATCATCAGCTTTACGTAGTCCAGGTGGCGCTTCAGGCGCCAGTAGAGTTCGCGGGGCAGCACGTCCTGCAGGTTCTCCCCGTGGGGCAGCAGCTGGCAGCTGGCCAGCGCCGAGATGGTATAGGGGTCCGTCAGGTCCAGCTCAAAGTAGACGCGGGCACTGGCCTGGAAGGCTGCCTTGGAGTTGTCTGGGATAAAGTCCCAGACGCGGGTGTAGGGGACGTGGATGGTGCCAAACAGATAGGCCGGGGGGTCGCGCCGAATAGTCCACAGGAAGGAGTTGAGGTCCCTTTGCTGCAGGCGGAGAGGAGAATGAAAGCAATGAGGCTGATGGCGGCAGAACAAACCAAGGTTAACACAGGAGGAGGTGGGGACAGAAGGCAGACACCTACATAGGGCCATGCATGGGAAAGAGCAAGGGCTTTGGGAGCCGAAAGACCCATAGGCAAATCCTGGCTCTGCCCTGTCTTAAGCTGTATGATCTTGACCACGATGTTTCACTTCCCACCGACTCAGTTTCCCCATCTGTTAAATGGAGGGTGAGAGCAGCTATCTTAGGGGTTGATGGGCGAATGAAAACACACACAATATCTAAATAAGTTTTAAGAGCACTGCCAGGCACAGAGGAAGGGGCAATGAAGGAAGCTCTCGGTATTTATGATTAGCTTTCACTGTTCATGCCAAGGTCTGCCACACCACCTGAGAATATTCATGCTTGGCCAAGCCAAACCTTCACCAGTGGTGTTTCATGGGGAGTGTGGGGAGAGGGGGAGCAAGAGTCCTGCTCTGGTAAGAAGGGAGGAAGTCATATAACTTAAATCCAACCATTAGAAGATACTTGCCAAGAGCACTTTGAAAGCAGAACACCCATTAAAAATAGCACACCTATTTAAACAGCAACTTCCCATTCACCAGGGTGGATACAGTTTTCCTTTTGGAGGGCAGATCTGGGTGTCAGCTACTCTGCTCGACCAGCTGAAACCACAGATGAGAAAGTGCTTTAAAAGCTGCAGGCTAAGTGAAGTCTCAGGCCCCGGCTTGGGAGAGGAGGAAGCCATAGAATCAGGAAATGTACATATTCTGGGTGTCTTCCAGGCTGCTCCCCTAAATAGGTACACCTGGTCTCCAACACCAATTCTCTGTCATTTATCACCTAAGCTCCTACAAGGGTGTGTATAGGGGTGAACACAGAGAGGCCTGGAAACAGGGGTCATTTCTCCAGATCCAGTTTTGGGGCCAGGGGCTAAGGAGCATAAGAAAGCAACTGTCATTGCTCACAGGTCAAGTCATTTTCTATATAGCAAAACCCGTAGCACCTGCAAGCTTCAGGCCAACTCGTAAGATTTTTCTACCTGATTTTAGCACAATGAAAAGTATGTTTGGGGTGGGTGGTGGCAATGGTACCTTACTTTACTAACAATCGACAATTGTAACCCCCAGCATACTAGAGATAGAGACTGGCGCCCGCATGCCACAGAGCTCCCTGTTTTCACAGGAGTCAGGACGCTGGAGGTGCACCTTGCCCAAGGTCAACTATCTCTCTGCTAAGGAGGCAGCGAGTGAGGAACCTACAAATCATCTCCCGGTCCCCTGGCCTCCAATTCAGGGTTATTTTCCATGTATTAATTAACACTTTGAGGGAGGACACTGAGGGGAATCAAGGGATCCCTTGGTTTGGAAGGAAAATTAGAAGAACCAGTAATTACTCAACCCCACGGAGATATGAGGGCAGCATGTATTTCCTGGCACTGCTTTCTTTCTCCTCTGGAATCTTCCCCCTTTTTTTGTGAAATTGGGGCATTTGGTAGAGCGGTGTTGGGGCCTGGGTTGAACAGGGAGAGAAAAGTGGGAAACTACACCGCGGAGAAAGTTTGCCTTAGGTCAGAGTGGGAGGGCAGGGGAGACGGGCAAGTCTGGAAGGGGGCAGTGTGTGAGTAAGGGAGAAGGGTCTGATGGAAGTCAGAGAAGAGAGGGCAAGGGATGGTAGACACAGAGAGTAGGAGTGGGCAAAGAGAAAGCAGGAGGGTAAAGACAGGATAAAAGCAAATGGGTCAAAGGGGCACAGAGAGGAACCGTCAAGCAGGACCGAAAGAAAGTTGGGGAGAGCCCGAGAGCGTCAGCGTGTGTTGAAGGAACGGCCGAGGGAGCCCCCATCTCGGTTCCCGGCACGGAGCTGGGACCCGGGAGCCCGAAGCTAGGGAAGGGCGCCCGAGGCAGCACCCGGCGGGCGGAGGTGGAGCGGGTGGGCTGAAGTGGGTGTGGAAGGCAGGACCCCAAACCAACGTCCCCACGGGGCTGCAGTGCCCGGGCGGCCGGGAAAGTGGCCGGGCAGGCGCTCGCTCACCGATCCGGGCGGCCGGCACTGTCCTCCGTCCAGGGGCTGCGGGTGGGCGCGGGCGGTGGCGAGGAGGGCGGCGAGCAGCGGCCCCGCCAGGGCGGCGTGCATCCTGCCGGGGCCCGCGGGGCGCGGGGGACCCTCCTGGGCGGCGCCCCCTCAGTGGGGCGGGGAGCCCCCAGCTGGGCACCGAGGTTCCTCTGGAGCGCGGGGCTCCAGCGGCGGGATGCTGGGAGCCCTCTGGGGCGTGGCTGGATGTCCCTGCCGAACCTGGGGTTCCCTCGGGGGCGGGGCTCCGTCAGTTGGAAGAGGGGTACCCTCTGGGGCGGAGCTCTTCACCGGGGCGCGCAGCCCCGTCGGCCGAGCCCCGGGGTTCTGAGAGCGCGCGGGGGTCCCGGAGTGGTGTCGCGGTCCAGGGGCGCGCGGGGCTCCTGGGGCGGAACGGGGATCCCGCGGTGCGCGGGGTCCTGGGGTTATGCTGGGGACCCGGGGCGCGCAAGGTCCCTGGGGTGCGCCGCGCTCCAGGGGTCGCGCGGTGGGACAAGTGCGGCGGCGGGCGCGGAGGGGGCGGGGGTCGGATCTGTGTGCCCAGCTGCCCCTGAGCTGGGCTCAGAGGGGCGGCGGACGGCCGCGCGGCCGCTGCCCGGGCTCCGCCATGCTGCTCCGCGGCCGGGAGGGAGGGAGAGAGGAGGGCGGGAGAGCGGCGCGGAGCCGGGCCGGGCGGGGGGCTGGGGCCGCCGGGGCGGGGGGAGGGGAGGACCCGGCGCGGGACGCGGGGGGCGGGGGGCCGCGCCGGGCCGGGCCGGGACGCAGGGAGTCCGGGCGAGCTCCGCGCCCGGGCGCGGCGAGGCGGGGTCTGATGGGCATGGCAGGCGCTCGCTCGCTCCTCTCTTGCTCCCTCGCTCGCTCCCTCACACACGCGCGGAGGGAGGCGAAGCCCGCAGCAGCCACTTCCCAACTTTCCAAACTTCCCAGCGCAACTTTTTCCTCTCCTCCCCTGCCCGCGCCTCCTCCTCCCCCATCCCTCCCCCTTCCCCTCGCCTGTTCCCTGCCGGGCCGTAGGCTTCCGCACGCGGCCGCCAGAGGGCGCCCGGGCCGAGGTCCTGCTCTGTCATCTTCCGTGGGCTCTGAAGTGGACGAGGACCTGGCGGGCAGCGGCAGGTTTGGGCACTTGGACAAGCCTATCCCAATGCACCTCGTGCGAAGATGGTGGGAGTGAACAGCGAGAGGGTCAAGAGTGGGCAGGCACTCCCAGACTGGCTGGGAAGGCAGAAGTTAAAAGAACCCAGGGAAGCTAGTATGTACAACTTTGTGTCCATAACTCTGACATGCGCTTAGTGGGTGATCCGCAAACACTAGCTGAATTAAAACAAGATAATCTTCCTCAAAAATTTTCGGAACTTTCCATATAAACAGTCGTGTCTCATCAGTTTCTTTGGACCCACACGGGATCCCCGTGAGGGGCCTGAGAGGTAAGGATTCATACTGCAGTTCCTTAGTCGATAAAAATGGAAAGAGCCCTTAAAACCAGACTCCTCTGCTCCTGAGAGGCAAGTGAAGCTTAGATAAGGCCAAGGGGCCAGGCCCAAGCCTCTGGACCATTTCCAGCACATGGGGAAGCTCAGTCACAGTCACCACTGCCTAGTTCTGTCAATGAGAGTTGGCTGGCACTTCCTATCCTGACAACGGAGACGGAAGTATGAATTAGGTAGAACAGTCAGGAGCCCACAGACTTGAAAGGGAGACAGACAGACAGGGACAGACACACAAAGAGATGGTTAAAATACAGATGATGAGTGCCAGGAGAGACACAAGGGCAGGTAAATGGAAACAGAGAAGAGCTCCTAACACAGCCTGGAGACTCAGGAAAGACTCCTAGGAGTAGTCTTGAAGGGTAAATTACAGGTAGCTGAGTGAAGGAAGTGCACAAATTTTTCCAGGTGAAATGCATAGAGGTAGGAGAGACAGGTGCCTGCAGGGGTCCACAAGCAGTCTGGCATGGCTGGAGCAAAAAGCTAGGGGTGGGAGCTGAGGCTGTGTCTTCTGGCCAGTCTGCAGAATTAGCGCTTTATGTGTACTAGGTGATGGGGAGCCATTCCTAGTTTGAAGTAGAGTCTGGCTGGAGCAGGTCTGTGCTTTTAGGAGGCATTGATTGGAGGGAGAGTGGGAGGAAGGACAACCTGTGCAGAGATAGGCAGGAAGTGCAGAGGTCTCCTGATGCCCAGCCCAAGGCTCTCCCACTACTCCCACTCACACCTCTGGCCACAAGACAGCACAGCTGGAGAATGGCCACTGTAGAAGGTTGGGAGAGGAAGGCCAGCTGGGATGGAGGGGCAAAAAGACTTCCAGGGCACAAGGTCTGGGCCTTTGGGAGGAGCCCAGTGGGATACCAGAGTCTGGCAGTTTGAACCACATGGGATTGCCATTTCTACAGATCAGAAATTAATAAATGTTGGCAATTTCATATAGTTCAACCTGCTAGGAGTCCAGAACAACTTCAGTCTCTTAGCCATGCACACATCTGGTGACAGACGCTGAGCAGGCCCAAGTGCCCAGACAGTATGGGAGAACAGTGTGGCTCCATGTTGCCCACACACAGAGCTCTGAGAAATGCAGCTGTGACAAGGGAGAGTCCTTTAAAGAGCCTCCACTCCCCCATGCTCCAAAACTGCCTACAATACCAACCCTCTGCTTGGTGAGGATGAGGCGAACAGTTGGGAAGTAGGAGGAAAGCTTAATTCCACTGAGAGGGAGTACGATGGTCTCTATGGGTAACTAGGAGACAAAGGCAGATAGACAAAAAAGGACCAAGTTAAAAACTGATCCACAAAATTAAAGGGGTGTTACATGTAAATATGTGTGTGTGATTTTGAAAATGTTCCAGGACTTTTTTTCTAAAGTAAAAGTTTTGTTGGCTAATTGTCATGAGTTCCAGCTATGATGTCTCTTTTTTGGCCCTGTCCTATGGTTGTGTGACCAGAGCCAAAATAATTAACCTCTCTGTGTCTCCCTCCATCCAGCTTCCTGTTCTCATGGTTCTCTGAGTCAATGTGTGCACTAATGCTTTAGGATTTCCAGTGGTATTGCTACTGATATTGTTAATGAGAGGCAAGAACAAGCAGGGTTTTCTGCTCCTAGGGATGTACTCAAGAGAATTGAAAACACCTGTCCACATGGAAACTGTGCACAAATATTGATAGCAGCATTATTCAAAATAGCTAAAAGGGAGAAAAAACCCAAATGTCCATCAGCTGATGGATATACAAAATGTGGCATTTGCATATGGTGGAGTATTATTTGACCATAAAATGGAATGAACTATTGATACAATATGGAACAATCTCTAAAACATTATGCTAAATATTAAGAAGCCAGTCACAAAACAACATGTATGATTCACTTTATATGAAACTTCCAGAATTGGCAAATACACCGAGGCAGAGAGTAGATTAGTGGTTCTTTAGGAGTAGGAGGGAAGGGGACATTGGGGGACCACAGCTAACACAGCTAAAAGTTACTGCATTTCTTTTGGGAGTAATGAAATATCTAAAATCGATTGTCATGATGGTTGCACAACTCTGTGAATATATTAAAAACATTGAATTGTACACTTTAAAAGGGTGAATTGTGTGGTAGGTGAATTGTAGTTCTGTAAAGCTGTTACTAAAAAAGAACAAACAGGAGGTAGTTCTCTCCAAGAACAAGGGTCTAGTGTTTTCAAACAAATTTCTCTCCTATCTGGTTTGTGACAGAAGTCCTGGATAGTTCTAAAGTCCTAGAGCCTTAGCGTGCTTCTGCTAATGTGTCACTCATCAGCTCTGGGTGGCTCAGTTGTCCTCACTGGACCTGTTTTCCTGTCATCGGTATGAACAAGCTCACAGAGCAGATAACCTTTAAGAGTCTTCTCTACACAACTCAAGTTCAGGATTCCCTGGCCATGGCCTGCCCAGTAGCCTTCAGGCAGGATGGAAGGGGCGAGGACACAGGACTCAGAAGGCGGGCAGAGGATGCAGCCTCCTGCCTCCTCTCCCTGGGCGCATCTGGCCCACTTTCCTTTTATTGCATTTTAATTAAGTTGTTCAATCAGATGGGTACTAGGAACCTGTAGGCTGTAACAGCTCAGGCAGGAACAGAAGCCTTGTAGCGGAACTAAACCAACAAAGTCTGCCTCTTGAGCAGATCCAGGAGCCCCGGGTCCTGCCCAAGGGCGCCTTTCCTGCGATGAGGGGCTTTCCTGCTCTGCTGTCTCAGAGGACAAGCTCTGCTCTGGGCCTGAGGGCTGCCCTCTTGGCTAGCCATCGCCTGGGCCTCTGACCACACTAGGGGTCTCCAACGGACCTGGCCCGGCCTGACTTCCAGCTCCAACTTCTATCCCAGTTGTGCCCGACTCCCACCTACCCCCAGGCTCTGTCTTCTCCGCTGCAGCTTTAGTTGGTTGGAAGTTAATTCTAAATGGAAAGACAGATTGCATTTGGCAGTGGGGAAGAAGGGAAGTGAGTCCAGGATCATGCAGAGGTCAGCAGTGCTTAAGACACTGCTGGAAAAAATCAGCAAAAAAGATAGGCACTGAAATGATTCAGAAAAGGGCATTCATTCCCTTACAGGAGTGGGGAAATAGGTGCATGATCATAGAAACACAATCAAGTGTGAGAGTTGCTATACAAGATGGCAGTCATTGAAACAAAAAGCCCTGCTAAAAAAGCCCAGTGAGGGAATGGAGAGCACAGAGGACTCAGCTCCAGGTTTTGTCCTCAGGGAGCTTGCAACTCAGTGAAGGAGACAGAAATGCAAACAAATAGGGTGCTTTGGGAAGTGAATGGGGGCTGTGGGGGCAGAGCAGCTGTAGGAAAGAAGAAAGTCAGGTTTAGGAGAGAGGAGATCAGCAAAGGTCTTTGCCAAGAAGGTGATGTTTCAGTTGATCTCTAAGAATGAGCAGGATTTGGACAGGGAGAATGAAGAAAAGAAGATCCTTTCAGACAGTGGGATCAGCACATATAAAGGCAAGGAAGTGTAAGTGCTTGGTACTTGGGGGATATTGCAAACGATGATGGGGAGAGCTAGAATTCAAGAACTATTGTGGAGGGTCAGAAATGAGACGGCACCAGGAAGGG